ACAATTCTCAGCTCATTAACACATACCAAATCCCCTAACCAATTCAAGCACAAAAGAGGGATGAAAAAATTAACATATGGCAGTAGCCTTACCTTAAGGTGAAATCAGTTCCTCCTCTTGAATTTCTTAAGATGGGAGATGTTACACCAACTTGTACTTGAAAAATAAAGGGTTTTCTCAGATTTTTAATGGTGAACTTGCAGGCCAGCACTTTGGAGCTTCTAGGGTTTCTTTTTGGGAGTAAATTGCTGTAGAACAAGTGAGAGATATATGAAATGAATTTCATTCTCTTAAGGGGTGCTTTATGAACATTTTTCATTAAGAAAAATGTAGAAATATCTAGTCCCTCACTTTAAGTAAGCAGGTACATCACTCCATTAATTTCTGCCACAAGATCTTTAAGTAGCTGCATCACCTAGTTGCTCTTTTCTTTTAAATGCAGTCCACATATTTCCTAAGGTGGTGCATCACCTACTTACCACTTATTTAAGTAGGTCAGTAGTTAATCTACCATTAAGAACCTATGTCATCCTTTCTACGTAAGCTACACATGTACGTGAGTAACTTAATTACGTAAGATATCCGAATTAGTAGCTTAAGCAAGTAGGTTGATTACTATGACAAATTATACTTTACTTACTCTATTTAGCCTCAACCCTCTTTCGAATATTGTCAAACCTATTTCAAATCCTCACTACTCACATAGAACTAGTATAATCAAAATATGGGACGTTACAGGTCTGCCTCTGCTTGTCCTTCATAGCCATCTCTTGCTCAATAATAATCCCCATATCGATGCTCTTCGTAGAAATAATCGACCCAAGGCAGGCCGCCTTAGGATTTTAGAGAACGAACTCATTTTGGGAAGGCATAATAGAGCTACTGATGAATCCAAACCAAAAATGTGTAGCTACACTCAAGTCCCTCTTCTCAATCGGGATTCCTGCCTCTATCCATCTCTGGGTAGTGTCTAAGATGAGTGGCGCCAACCAACCCTTAAGCTCATCCAATGAAGATGTGGCAGTAGTCAGGTTGGGGTAGTTAAAGTCATATCCCCTGTCAAGTACGGTGTTGATGTACTTGCTATTGCATCCAACTTCCTTACCCAAGACCACAACCGACTTAACCGGTATGAACTCACTGGCCTTCTTCTTACTCTTTGGAACTAATTCACCATATGCTGAATAGAATTCTGGGACCCATGAAGGAATATAGGGGCCTCGGGGCCTGGTGAACTGCTCAAAGTGGTGAAAATGGAGGGTGTGCCTCACATCAGACTACTTTCCTTCAAGGCCCTCTGTGGATAACAACTTCTCCTCTTGGATGGTTCTTAATCTATCACCCTTTAACCTATTTAGAAGCCTAGGAGGAGGGACGACTGGTGGCACAGGAGCCACAGGAAGTGTCGGAGCTGGCACTGAGTCTGCTGGGGTGGAAGCTGATGGGATTCTAGCTAAGTTAGGGTGAGATCTAGCCTGGAGCTCAGCCTGCCGGGACTGTAAAGGCTGGTCGTCCTCAGGCTCAAATAAAGCAGCCTAGGAGCCAGTAGTCACCCTATCTCCCGGTGGAAGCTCTTGCGCCTTCCCTTCTTGGGAGGATTTGACCCCCTTCATTGATTGTGATACCCCTTGCTCTTTTTCGGAGTGCCATGTCAATGTTGGTCCTTACCATGTCTGCAAAAACATCAAAACAAGTGAGAAGCATTTCAAGAAAAATCACAGAAGAACATTTGCAGACAGACTCGCCGAACTGGTCGGCGAGTCGCCAAATCAATTTGGCGAGCTAGATCGGGCTCGTCGAAAGGATTGGCTCAAAATTCTCAAAAATAATTGGCACGTCGACAATGGAAAGGCCTTTCGGTGAATCACCCACAACATTCGGCGAGCAAGGATTAGGCTGCCAAAAGTTACAGTGCAAAAAGGGTTTAGGGGTGCAGACAAAGGGCTATTAAGAAGAACTATCGACGAGTCGCCAAGTGCTTTCGGTGACCTCAGGCTTCTTGCCGAAAGTTACAGACCCAAACTACTCATTTAGCATGAAATTAATGGCGAGAGGGGAACTTTGGCGAACTGCCGAGTGGTTCGGTGAGCTCGACCCAGCTCGTCAAATGACCCAACGTGCCTACTTTCAACCCAAGTTCTCAAATTCAACCCCGCAACCCCTGAAAATAAATCAAAGCATGCACCCATCAAATTAAAGCAAGACTCAATACACCCATTACCCCGAGATACTCAGACTTTTCCTAGTTTTGCCAAATTTGGCCATTTGATGACTTTTTCCCTTAATAATGACGTCACCCACTCTATCATTGGGAAAATTACGTCATTTGGCACAAATGTGGGTTACTGAGACTTTGCCCAACTATACCCAACAACATGCAAGCACAACCCCTCAAATTCTAACCAACTTTAAGGCATAAAATTATGGGAATTCAATATTGCAGGCATTACGGGCAACAATTTCAAATTAACATAGGCACAAACATACACAATTAGGACCAGAGAGACCCAACACACATTACTAAGATAAGATCATTGCAAATGAGTACAAAATTGCTAAAAATAAACTTGGGGTTCGGAAAACCAATCTTACATGCCGATTAAAATAATTTGAAATGGTAGGCGGCAAAGTAATCCACTCCGAACATAAATTCGACAACTAAAACACTAAAAAGATGCAACAAATATGGAAACTAAAGTGTGGGTGTAAGTTTGGGAAGTTCAAAATTGAGGGAAAGTGAAAGAGTTGGAAGTTTAAACATTTGGCCTTTAAAAATCGTCCAGTTCTCGCCCATTCGGTGACAATAGTCGTGCTTGTCGACCCACTGGTGATACATCGAGTGGTCACTTACCTTGCCGAGTTTTACAGGCCCTCCAGTTAATGTAGGGGTCCAAACAACGGTCTATGTTGGGGTCACCGACTCGCCAAGTTGCTCCTGGGCTCGCCGAGTTTTACAAACTCCAATTTAAAATATTCTTGAGTCAAATGGCGGTTAGAGTCGGGCACGCCGACCTCTTCGGCGATGTGCCGATTGGACCTTTGGCTCGCCAACCTACACTTTTCAAACACTTCCCACACTTCAACCTGCACAATCAACACACCATTATTTCTAAAACAAAATTAATGAGATAAAACCTTGGGTTGCCTCCCAAGAAGCGCCTTAGTTAACGTCGTGGCACGACTTCCCCACTTAATTTTGATTTGTGGGGTAGAGATGAGACAACACATGACCCATTTGGGCTTCCAGAAGCTGAACAAATATGGAATGGGAAGCAGTCATCTCATTCAGCAATGTGACATTCTCTTTTATCTCATTCAACACCTTGTCATACTCTTAGACTTTGTGAAGAATGAGAGAGAGTATCTCTTCTATTTGTCCACCCTCGTACACTTTATGCTTTATAAGCTCATGAGGGGGAATATACCAGTGTTTCTTGTCTGGTGCTTCCAATTCCATGATCTTTTTGGCCACTAGATCCAACTGAGTCAAAAGTGTGGCCAAAATCTGGTCCTTCTCAGTCTCCTTGTTGATCTTGGCCAGGTGATCAATGAGATGGATTGCTATTGCATAGGGTAGTCGTGAAAGACCTCCGGAGACATTTGGTCAGCCACTCCTCTGTTTTTCGAACCAAGACCTCTATAGAAGCAGTCCAATAACATGTTTTCTGAGATTCCATGGGCTGGGTATTGTAATCATAATGACTTAAACCTCAGCCACAACTCATGGATTGACTCACCCTCTATTTGCCTGAAGCTTAGGATGTTATCCCTAAGAATCATCATTCTCAAAAGAAGGAGGTCCATTTGGTCACCATTGCTACAAGACATGCTCCTTTATACCAGTCTAAACAACAACACACAAACCAAAACTAAAAATTAAGTAAGTACAACTATGACTAACAAGAACAAAATTCAACTTAACTAAGAATTTTCAAATAACACCACTCCCCGGCAGTGGCGCCATTTTGATTAACGTATCAGTACACTTCATCCAATACTAAGCATCAACAATCGCTAAGTAGTAATATAACCTAACTAAGTGAGATGGGGTCGAGTCCCAAGGGAGTGGTACATATTTGAGAATTAATAGGAAAACATGAATATTCTCAAGTCAATTATAGCTAAAAACATTTACGAGTGAAAGCATGATTCAAGTTAGGGGTAACACAAGTGTCAAATATCAAGGAGATTTGGTTTCAACCATCAGCTACAACAACAAATAACACGAAAATAGCAAGTATAGAGACGGGTTCTTGGGATGTGATTGGATTATGGGCTAAGGTAGACAATTGGGTGATTGCAATTAATAGTGAATAGCTGTAAATTAGTGAATAAGCTAGACTGTAGTGGGGATAAATTTTCTCTCGAATAATTTACCCCGAATCAAACTGGTTTCTCTTGAACAACAATAAGCAGCAATTAAGAACAACTTACGCTTTAGTCCATTCACTCTCTCTCGAGCTCAATGTGTGGAAAAAGATTTAGAGTTCACTCTCTCGGGCTGAACCCATGACAACCCAATACCCACAGACCATCAAATCAGCAATCTTTGTTTTTAAAACCTCTCTCTCGAGCAAGCCAAAAATACGAAGGTAGAGTTGCATTTGCAACTACAACCCTTTTAGATTAAGCCACAATTATCGAATGAAATCACTTTTAAACAACATTTACACTATCAATTAACAATACCCAGTGGCTAAATCAATCCATAATCACATAATCACACCCCAAGAATTGGGGTTTTAGCTAGACATCATAAAAAGGTAAAAATCGTTACCAAATTATGTTTCCATCAACTGGGTAAGATTGATATTGTCTTTACAAAGGTCTAAGATGAAGAATCTTCAACACCCACTTCCAATTTCTTAGAAATAGAAATCTTCAAATCTTCAAAGCTACAGAAATATTGTCTCTAAACTCAGTTCTAAGCTCTCAAACTTGAAAACTGAATGATAATGAAAACTATTGAATGCTAGATACTAAACTAAGAATTTAAAAAAATGTATTTATAGTTGCCAAAAATGTGCTACAAAGGACCATTTGATGCAATAAGTTGGGATCGTTGATCGACTCGGTGATCCGCCCTTTGGTCAATTTCATCGCCTTTTTGCTTTAGTCTTCAGCATCTTCAGGTTTGTACTTCGAGAGATATGGCAATGCATCGCAGAACCATTCGATGACTCACCAACTACTCCTTTCTATCGCCGACTTGAGTTTCTCCTTTAGGGATCGGCACATTAGAACATTAGGCGAGATAATGGCCATTTGGCGACTCACCCAATGGATTAGACGATCCTCATGCTTTCTTTTCTTCGTTCTTTCAGCATCCTTGTTCCTTTTTGCGCATTAGTGTCCATGCTTTGTTCCTGAATCCAAATACCTGAAAATCAAGGATTTACATAAGTTATTGGCACAAAATATACATTTGAGGACACTAAATCTATTAAAATGAAGCCCTAAATGAGTCCAAATCGTGGACTCATCAATCACCTACCTCTCATAGAGTTCACCTATAATAACATCTTCCATTCCAGTATTCAGATGGCCCCTTATGAGACATTGTATAGGCGTAGATGCAAGTCTCCAATTGGTTGGTTTGAAGTAGGTGAATCAACCTTGATTGGGCCAGATTCAGTTCATGAGGTTATGGAGAAAGTTCAACTCATCAGAGATAGACTAAAGACAACTCAGAGTTATCAGAATTCCTATGCAAATGTAAAGAAAAGGGACTTAATGCCCATTTGGATTGACTCATTTTAGGTGTTTTTAAGCCTAAATAGCTTTTAAGTAGTTTTGAAGTGTTTGGGTAAAGTTAAAAAATGCTTATAAACACTTATTTTAAAGCCAAAATAATAAAAATAAGCCAAAAGCCATAAGTTAGAAATCCTAACCTATGGCTTTTGGCTTATAAGTCATAAGCCAAAAGCCAATCCAAATAGGCCCTTAGAGTTTGAAATCGATGATTGGATTTTCCTAAAGGTGTAACACCCCGGATTCGAGAAATGAAAAATTCCAGATTTTTAGATTTTGTAGGTGCCACCGACAGAGGCCACCTACAGACCGTAGGTTGAACCACAGACCGTAGGTGGGGTCCGTGGTTGGTCACCTCAACTTTCCCCCAGAAACCCCAGAAAAGCCTTGACCAATGGCAAGACCTACGGACCGTAGGTAGGACCACGGTCCGTGTTCCAAGTCTGTGGTTCAAACCCCAGTTTCCAGCCTTCTGACTGCCAACGACAAATGAAAGGATGGACGAATAGTCGACCTACGGTCCGTCTGTCAGGTCCGTTGGTAACCCAGTGGATTTTTAGTTTAGGGGTAGTTGGGTCTTTTTCTAATTATTTTATCCCTAAACTACTTCGTTTTGGTCAGTTTTAGCCTATTAACAAAAGAAGTGAAAGAGACAACTCAAACCCCTCCAAGAACGCAACAAATTTTCTTCAGTTCGAGCCCTGGAAATGAAAGATTTCTCTGTGAAATTTTTCACCAGGTATGTGGGATTTCACTAGTGGGTTCCTTCCATCCACTAGTCCTTAGAATTCAGTCAGATTCTTGATTCGCTATATCTTTCTTACACATAAGGTTTCTAAAACCTTAGATATTTTTTGTGATTTAGATATTAGAGTACTCCTAATCAGGTTATCATAATTTCATAGAATCGTTGCTTAGGTTCTTTGCATGAACCTTAGATCCCTAGTTGTGTAGATTCTTTTAGTTCATGAATTACACATGCTAGATTAGTTAAACATATATACATGCTTCAGTTTTCGAATGTCACATTATTAGTATATAATTATTACATTCTCATATTTTACATGTCAATATTTTGAGCTATTCAACATGTCAGTATTTCAGTCATAACGTGTCATATACATATTCAGTTGGGAGTAGGCTTAACACCGAGTGGAATAGGGTTTCAGTGTACCCTTATAGTCCCAGAACTATGTGCCTCCATTGGTTAAGTCCCCTATGTGGGCATTAATTTTAGTCATTATGCAGTCATGCCTTTATACCCCTAGCAAGGTATATCGGGCCCTTCGATAGGGTGTATACATCAGACTCCACAGTTAGATCACTAGGTGGCTGTGTCATTTACTAGTAGCTCACACAGTTAGACTCTAGTGCAATTGACCAGGTTTTTTAGTATACTTCAGTATTCAGTCTCAGCATGTTATATCTTTGGTCATTGCATTTAGTTTAGTTCTTTTCAGTATATATGAGTATTTTCATCATGTTTAGATTATATCAATTCTTAGTTATGCTTTGTTCAGCTTATATGTTTGTTCAACTTTTATCCATATCCTGCATGCTCAGTACCTTCCAAGTACTAACGCATACTCTGCGCTACATCTTTTATGATGTAATTATAGGCCCTCAACATTCTGATCACGTGTAGATCAGTTCCCAATCCACATTCTGCAGCTTCAGTGGTGAGGCCTCATACTTCGAGGACAATAGACATATTTTTAGATTTTGTCTTTCATTTCAGTTTCAGTTTTTCTAGGGTTAGCTGGGGGCATGTCCCCACAATTCTAGTCAGTTAGAGGCTTTTTTAGACATAGTTTTAGATTCAACTTTAGTTTTGAGTAATTGTTCAGTATTACTAAACTCTTAGAATTTTATATATATTCAGACCAAAATTGGGTATCCCCATCATTCAGTTATTTCATGATTTAGCTTCCACATAGTATCTTTTTTATTCTATTAATTATAGTTTGCTTATGATATGCCAACTCAGGGTATCGTGGGGTCACTCGTGATCCTAGGTCCTGTATTTTCGTCAAGGGGGTATCCTTTGGGCGTGACAAACTTGGTATCAGAGCATTAGGTTTAAGAGCCTTAGGATGTTTGAAAGCCGCACTAAGTGGAGTCCTTTTCATAGGTGTGAAGTGCACCACATCTAATGAAAGGGAGGCTATGAAGTGTTTTAGGAAAACTTCACTTTCTTTGCTACTCTTATCGTGCGTGAGGTATGATCCAATTTTCTTGTTCTAATCCATCGTTATGCGTTTCAGATCATGCCTCTTCGTAGAGCTTACCCACAGAATGCTAATGCACGCAACGCAAACACAGTTCCTCCAGTCCCAGACCATGAGGTTTCAAATGCAAAGTTTCGAAATGCTATCCAACTTTTGGCTCAGAGTGTAGCCAACCAGAAAAATCAGCAGGTTCTAGCTCCTACTAATATAAATGGTGGATCAATGGCATCTAGAATTTGAGATTTTGTTAGAATGAATCCACCTGAAATTTTAGGGTCGCAAGTTGGTGAGGACCCACAAAACTTCATTGATAAGGTTAGGAAAATCTTTGGAGTGATGCAAGTGACTAGTAATGATATGGTAGAGTTGGCATCTTACCAGCTTAATGATGTGGCTCACATTTGGTTTACTCAGTTGAAAGAAAACAAGAGTGTGGGTGCAACTCCTGTGACTTGGGAGTGTTTTAATGGAGCTTTTCTGGACAGGTTCTTCCCATGAGAGTTGAGGGAGTCTATGGCACAAGATTTATAATTTGAGGCAAGGTTCCATGTTAGTCTAAGAGTACGGACTTAAGTTCACCCAACTCTCCAGGTTTTCTCCACACATGGTTGTCGATCCAAGGGCACAAATGAGTAACTTTTTGTTTAGAGTATCCAATTTGGCGAAGACAGAGTGTAGAAGTCTATGTTGTTAGTAGATATGAATATCTCTAGGCTTATGACTCATGCTCAGCAGGTTGAGGGAGATAAGCTTAGATAAATGGCTAAGGACAACAATAAAGCTAGAATAGGGAAATATGAGTACTCTCAGCAGAAATTGGGTGGTGGAAATCACTCACAATTTTGACAGGATCAGTATAGTAGGGCACCGGGGTCTAAGTCTCAGGGGAGTGTTTCAGGAAATAAGACCTACCCAAATTGTCCAAAGTGTAGTAAGAACCATCCGAGAGAGTGTCTTGCAGACAAGGAAGGATGCTTTGGGTGTGGTCAGTCTGGTCACTGGGTGAAGAATTACCTTTCTACCAGGCAGGGTCAAGATGGTAAAAGTACTTGGGCTCAGTCTACAGTCCCAACAACACCAATAGGTCACCCAACTCAGCAGGATATGTCATCTGGTACAGGTAGTGGTTAGCACCAGAACATGTTCTATGCTCTCTAGGCTCGCCAGGACTAGGAAGATTCTCTTGATGTGGTCACTGGTACGTTACAAGTCTTTCTTTAGATGTTTTTGCATTGTTAGATCCAGGTGCTACTCTTTCTTTTGTAACTCCCTTTATAGCAGTAATCTTAGGTGTTAGTCCAGAAACTGTTTCAGAACCCTTCTCAGTCTCTACTCCAGTTGGTGACCCAGTTATAGATATACATGTATACAAACATTTCTCTGTCATAGTTTCTCAGAAAGTCATCTCAGCAGATCTTGTAGAGTTAGAAATGGTAGGCTTTGATATCATTCTAGGCATGGATTGGTTACATTCCTGTTATGCCTCAGTCGATTGTAGAACTAGGATCGTTCGGTTTCAGTTTCCAAACGAGCTTGTCTTAGAATGGAAGGGTAGTATCTCAGTCCCTATAGGTCGATTTATCTCTTTCCTTAAGACCAGAAATATGATCTCTAAGGGTAGTGTAACACCTGTTGAGGAAGAAAGGAAGGAATTAATAAAAGATGTTCTTCGGCTTGCTCAGTTAGGAGTTAGTCTTTTGGACACATCAGATGGTGGTGTGATGATACATAATAGATCAGAATCCTTGTTGGTAATAGAAGTTGAGGAAAAACAAGATAGTGATCCTATACTGCTTCAGTTGGAAGAAGTAGTTCATCAACAAAAAGTAGAGGTTTTCTCTGAAGGGGGAGATGGTCGCTTATGTAGTCCTAAGGTGGATGAGTAGGTGAAACAACCTTGATTAGGCCAGATTCAGTTCATTATGCTAAGGAAAAGTTCAGATCATCAGAAATAGACTTAAGACAAAAGTCCTATACAGATGTAAGGATAAGGAACTAAGAGTTTGAGATAGATGATTGGGTTTTCCTGAAAGTATTACCTATGGAGGGGGTCAGGAGATTTGACAAACTTTGTTGGGAGCTACTTGGGAAGCAGAAGCAGCCAAAAAGGCCAAGTATCCTCACCTCTTTCCTTCCAATTCAATTTCAGCTTGAGATAATAGTTTTCTCTCCGGTCTCTCAGTTTACTCGTGCGTAAATTCAGTCTTAGTACCTTTTTCCTTCAGTCGTTCTTGCATTTCAGCATATTTGCATGTTCCTGGAACTTAGTTCAGTCATATTTCAGTTTCCAATACTTAGTGGTAGGGATTGTAGCTCATTCCCTCCATATTCTACTAGTTTAGATTTCATTCGAGTTCCCAAGGGGAGAGATATTGTAAACCCCCTGATTCGAGAAAGAAAAATTCCAGATTTTCAAAAGTTGTAGGTTCCACCAATGGACCGTAGGTTGAACCACAAATCGTAGGTGGGATCCATGGTTGGTCACCTCAACTTCCCCCAGACACCTCAGAAAAGTCTTGACCAACGGCAGGACCTATGGACTGTAGGTAGGACTATGGTCTGTGGTCTAGGTCTGTGGTTCAGACCCCAGGTTTTAGCCCTCTGACAGCCAACGACGTCTATAGGACGGTCCGTCAGTCGACCTACGGTCAGCCACTCAATATTTAGTTTAGGGTTAGCTGGGTCTTTTACTAATTATTGTATCCCTAACCTACTTCGTTTTGGTTAATTTTAGCCTATTATTCTAGTCAAATTTTACCCTAAACCAGTATTCACTAGAATTCACCAAGCTTAGAACAAAAGAGGATAAAGAGGTGACTCAAACCCCTCTAAGAACGCATCATGTTTTCTTCAGTTCCAGCCCCGAAATCAAAAGATTTCTCTGTGAAATTTCTCACAGGTATGTGAGATTTCACTAGTGGGTTCATTCTATCCACTAGGTCCCTAGAATTTAGTCAGATTCTTTATTTTCTATATCTTGCTTAGACCTAGGGTTTCTAAAACCTTAGATATTTGTTGTGATTTAGCTATTAGAGTACTCCTAATTAGGTTATCATGTTTTTATAGAATCGCTGCTTAAGTTCTTTGCATGAACCTCAGAACCCTAGATGTAGATTATCTTAGTTCATGAATTACACATGCTAGGTCAATTAAACATATATACATGCTTTTGTTTTCAAATGTCATATTATCAATTTATAATTATTACAATCTCAGATTTTGCATGTCAGTATTTTGAGCTATTCAACTTGTCAGTATTTCAATCATAATGTGTCATCTACATATTCACTGGAGTAGGCTTAACACCGAGTGGACTAGGGTTTCAGCATACCCTCATAGTCCTAGAACTACAAGCCCCCGTAGGTTAGGGCATCAGATTTAGTGATCACGCCTGTTATGCCTTCATACCCCTGGCAAGGTATGTCGGGCCCTTTGATATGGTGTATACATCAGACTCCATGGTAAGCTCACGTGGTGGTTATGTCGGTTACTAGTGTCTCCCTCAGTTAGACTCTAGTGCAATTGACCAGGTTTTCAGTATACTTCAGTATTTAGTCTTAGCATGTTATGTACTTGGTCATTGCGTTTAGTTCAGTTCTTTTCAATATATATCAGTATTTCCATCATGTTCATATTATACCATTGCTCAGTTATACTTTTTTTAGCTTATATGTTTGTTCAACTTTTATCCATATCCCTTCCAAGTACAGATGCATACTCCGTGCTACATCTATTCATGATATAGGTTTTGTCCCTCAACATTCAGATCATGCGTAGATCGGTTCCCGATCCACATCCAACAGCTTCAGTGGTGAGTCCTCATACTTCGAGGACAATAGACATGTTTTCAGATTTAGTCTTTTATTTTAGTTTCAGTTTTGCTAGGGTTAGCTGAGGGAATGTCCCAGCAACTCTAGTGAGTTAAAGTCTTTTTCAGACATAGTTTTAGATTTAACTTTAGTTTTGAGTGATCGTTTAGTATCACTAACCTCTTAGAATTTTATATATATTCAGACCAGTATTGGGTATTCCCCATCATTCAGTTATTTCATGATTTAGAATCCGTATAGTATCTCTTTTATTCAGATAATTAAAGTTTGGTTATGATATGCCAGTTTAGGGTTAGCTTGGGGTCACTCCTGATCCTAGGTCCCGTGTTTACATCAGGGGGTAGCCCGGGGCGTGACAAACTTGGTATCAGAGCATTAGGTTTAAGAGTCCTAGGATGTCTGAAAGTCGTACTAAGTAGGTTCCTTTTCATGGGTGTGAAGTGCACCACATCTAATGAGAGGGAAGCTACAAGGTGTTTTAGGAAAAAATCACTTTCTTCGCTACTCTTATCGTGCGTGAGATATGATCCAATTTTCTTGTTCTAATCCGTTGTTATGCGTTTCAGATCATGCCTCTTCATAGAGCTTACCCACGTAATGCTAATGTACGCAACACAAATGCAGTTCCTCCAGTCCCAGACTATGCAGAGTTTTGGAATGCTATCCAACTTTTGGCTCAGAGTGTAGCCAACTAGAATAATCAACATGTTCCAGCTCCTATTTATAGAAATGGTGGATCAGTGACTGCTAGAGTTTGAGATTTTGTTAGGATGAATCCGCCTGAGTTTTTAGTGTCGCAAGTTGGTGAGGACCCACAAAACTTCATTGATGAGGTTAAGAACATATTATGAGTAATGCAAGTGACTGGTAATGATAGGGTAGAGTTCGCATCCTACCAGCTTAAGGATGTGGCTCACATTTGGTTTACTCAGTGGAAAGAAAACATGAGTGTGGATATAGCTCCTGTAACTTTGGAGTGTTTTAATGGTGCTTTTCTGGACAGGTTTTTCCAAGAGTGTTGAGGGAGTCTAAGGCACAAAAGTTTATGAATTTGAGGCAAGTTTCCATGTCAGTCCAAGAGTACGGACTTAAGTTCACCCAACTCTCCAGGTATGCTCCACACATGGTTTCCGATCCAAGGGCACAAATGAGTAAGTTCCTGTTTGGAGTATCCGACCTTCAGCGCAAAATGAATTAGGTGGCCCCTGACTTGTCAAATTAAAGATATCCAAATCCTCTTTCCAACGCCACTGTGTTTGCCTAATTCATAGCCAAGAGTAAAAATTTATGCTCATTTTAGTAAAGTCATGTCGGGTAGGGAAAGCACCACGACCCATTTGATGGGCCGCGATGCTCTAGACGGGCCCGTCTAGCCTCTTTTGAAGTCACTTTGTCAGTTTCTAAGTCAGGGTCGTATTGGTTTTTTCCCTTATGTGTGGGGCACTTAAACTAAGTCGTTTGGTGCTTAAAAGACGTCGTTTGAATTAGTCTAAGCCTAATAATCTAGTTAGAAACTACCTAGAACCCTCATTCTCGTAAAATCATTTAGTTTAGAAAGAAAAGAAGAGAAAGAGGTGACAATTTCTCCCAAGAACAAGTAAAGGTGTTTTTCAATTTTATCCCCGAAATCTAAAAGATTTCTCTGTAATTTTTGTCACCTGGTATGTGGGATTTAATTAGTGGGTTCCTTTCACCCATTAGGTCCCTATAATTCAGCCAGTTCTTCAATTTCTCATAAATTGCTCAAACCTAGGGTTCCAAAACCTTGGAGATTTCATTGTGATTTTTGTTGCTCCAGTTTCCACGATCTAAATAACATGTTTATTGAAAACTTTGCATAGTCCCATGTATAGAACTCAGAACCCTAGCTTGTATTAATTATCAGTACTTCATTAATTATACTTGCTAGGCCGATTAGTAAAAAAATCATGCTTCAAAATTTGAATGCCAGATATTTTAGTATATTTATGTTGCATTCTTAGATAGCATGTCATTATTTTGATATACTTAGTATTTTAGTAGAATTTTATCTATACATATTCAGTTGGGAGTAGACTTAGCTTTGAGTTGGTCTAGGGTTCAGCGTACCCTCAAAGTCCAAGAACTACGTGCCAACGTAGGTCCAGAAGTCCCCTCTATTGGGCAACAATTTTAGTGATCACGCCACAGTCATCCTTTATACCCTTGGCAAGGTATATTGGGTCGTCTCGATGAGCCGTATACATCAGACTCCACATTTAGCTCACGTTGTTTATGTCGGTTAATAGTAGCTCCCACGATCATACTCTTATTGCATTGACC